GAGGAAGCGCAGTGCGCTCTTGACAGACTAGCAAGTTCTGTATCTCCTTTCGGCATGCGCTTTGCACCTTCAAAGTGCAAAGTGATGCTACAAGACTGGGTGTCGTCTGCCCCAACGTTGATGCTTGATGGTCAAGAATTAGCTGGAGTGGAATGTTTCGCATACTTAGGTAGCTGCGTTTTAAATGACGGCAGCATAGTCAATGAAGTAACCGCACGCATTTCCAAGGATCGAGTAGCTTACGCAGGATTGAAACACCTTTGGCGTAGACCCCATGTTTCGTTGAAACTGAAAGGTCGTGTATGCTGCACCAGTGTGCGGCCAATTATTCGCGCGTGGAGGATATTCGTCGTTTTGAAGTATTCGACTGCAGATGTTTACGTAGTTTGGCGCGGGTTGGATGGAGCGAGCTTGTAAGCAACTCTGAGGTGAGGCATCGCGTATTCGGTAATGATTCGATGGAGAATTCTTTGTCCCATCGAATTCAGATTAGTCGGCTTCGCTGGTTAGGACACGTATTACGCATGTCCAGCCATCGTCTGCCGCACCGCGCCTTATTCGCAGTTACGGCTCCAAGTAGGAAGAAACCGCGTGGTGGTCAACAGATGACGTGGAAGCGAGGCATGAAGAAATGCACAGAGCGATCAGGTAGAATCGGTGTTTCCCGTCTTCCAGGTTGGGGTTCGAAAGACTCTGTAACTAGTTGGCTAGAGAAATTAAAGGATATGGCGACTGACCGACAGCAGTGGCGCTCTTATTGCCATTTCTTAACAAGGCAGAATGCTTGAAAAAGGTGTGCATGAACACTTAGATTGTGTACTCTGTGTGTTGAATATAGAGGTTCCTTTTTCTTTGCCTCCCTCCAAGTAGGCCCAATCCCTCTCCATCTTTTGCTTTATCATTTAATTTGTGTACATTGTGAGCTTGGCAGCGATCAGTGAGGCTCGCTTCACTGTATCTCGCTGTACGATGATGATGATGTGAAGATAAGTAGGCGTCTTGGATGAACGCATTAGGGATCCTGAGAAATCCTCTCATGCTTCGAAGAAGCGACCCTGACTTTTTCAAGGCCAGTATATCAACAGGCCAGATTCGCGCACAGCGAAAAACCGCCACGTCCTTGGACAGCGANCAAAGTTTCACGATTGTTCACCAATATGGCCGTTCTCTTACTCGTGAGCTGTAGACGAGCCCGATAGTGTATAGTTTTGTTCACGGTAGACTTGAGGTGTCCAACAGCTCGTGAAACACATGCCATAATCCAGCTGCCTAAACTCGATGCAAATTGTTGAGATAGGCGTCAAACACCAAGTTTAGGCGCGATTCGGTCGGATTCGATGAGAACCAGACTGTTATATGGAATTGAAAAGTGAAGAGTATGCACAGAAAAGGTGTTAATTTGTACCATCGAAGGAACGGTCTGTCTTAAACATAGGCACCGCAGAAAACAGAGATTATGCTAGTTTTTTTCTCAGTCGCCAACTGCAGCACAGTGCGGTATATTTTTATTAAACACTACTGCGTGCTGAACAGCAGACGGGGCAGGTGGGCCGATTAGTCACGAAGATTTGCTTTACAGTGATCGTAACCGGTTATCTAAGCCCCGGGACTTGGAGTATATATATATATATTTACCACCGGCTTGAAAACAAGCATGGCGAACCACGTCAGGCCCCGATAGGTTAGGCTTGATATTGAACCGAACGACAGCAAAGCTGCATACCTAAGTTGAGTGGTGGTGGCGGAAATCGAACCCCGGACCACTGGGTCCAAAGCACGCCGGTGACAGTGACTAAATCACTGCG